TTTTTCCCGTATACCACCTTTCTTCCCTTCTTATGATGGCTGGTTGTGCCACTGGGTGGCGAGCCCCTGATGATCTCCTCTCTTTCTCCTTTTCTCCTCCTTGCTCATCTCTTCCTCCTCCTCCTCTTCCTCCTCTTCCTTCTCCTCCTCCTCCTCCTCTTGCTCTCTGTCTTTCTCTCTCTTTCTCTCTCCTCCCCTTCTATTTATTCTCTCTGCCTAACAGCCCTGCCTATTCCTCTTCTGCATAGCTATTGACTGTTCAGTTCTTTGTTAAACCAATCAGGTGCCTTAGGCAAAGTAACAAAGCTTCACAGAGTTAAACAAAGGCAACATAAAAGTCTTCAACACACCTTTGCATCATTAAGCAAATATTTCACAGCATAAATGAAATGTAACACATCTTCAACTAATATTCCACAACAACTCCCCTTTATATTTTAATGTCTATCATACCCGACACACACTAGATATTTAGTAAATGTTTGTAAAAGCTCTGCTGAATAACATATATATGTATGTATACATATATATAGTTATTAATATATAGAGATATATATCTAGATTAATATATAGAGATATATATCTAGAGAGAGATTTGGTTTTTTGAGACAGGATTTCTCTGTGTAGTAGCACTGGCTGTTCTGGAGCTCACTCTGTAGACCAAGCTGGCTTCAAACTCAGAGATTTGCCTGCTTCTGCCTTCCAAGTGTTGGTACTAAAGGTGTGATCCACTACCACAAGGCTGTGTAGAATAATTCTAAGTTAGCAAATGAGTTGAAAAGGAAGGCATATGTAATTGAAGGAGGCAAAGGCAGGTGGATCTCAGTGAGTTCGAGGCCAGCCTGGTCTACAAAGCAAGTTTTAGGACAGGCAAGACTGTTACATGGAGAAACCCTGTCTTTGCCTCCCAAGTGCTGGCATTAAAGCCAGGTGGTGGTGGCACACACCTTTAATCCCAGCACTTTGGAGGCAGAGGCAGGTGGATCTCTGTGAGTTCAAGACCAGCCTAATCTATAGAGGGAGTTCCAGGATAGGCTCCAAAGCTACACAGAGAGACCCTTTCTCCAAAAACAAAAGCAAAACAAACAACAAAAAGAGGCATATGATTCCCTAGTATTGGGATTAAAGGTGTTAGCCACCATCACCTGGATCTCTCTCTGCATTGATTTTGTGTGTAACCCAGAGTGGCCTTGAACTCACAGAGATCCGTCTGTCTCTGTCTCCCAAATCCTGGGATTAAAGGTTTGTGACACCATTGCCTGGCCTCTAGTGGTATTTTAACTATGTAAAGATGTGTTACATTTGTTTATGCTGCAGAATATTACTTTAACAGCGTAAAGATGTGTTACATTTGTTTA